CTATAACTATCCATCCATCTATCCATCCATATATCTATCTATAACTATCCATCCATCCATCCATCTATATATCTATCTATAACTATCCATCCATCCATCCATCCATATATCTATCTATAACTATCCATCCATCCATCTATCCATCCATCCATAACTATCCATCCATCCCTCTATCTATCCATCCATATATCTATCTATAACTATCATCCATCCCATCCATCCATCCATATATCTATCAATCTATCCACCTTTCCATCTATCTATATATCTATCATCTATCCTATCTATCTATCTATCTATCTATCTATCTATCCATCCATCCATCCATCTTTCCATCCATCCCTCCATCTATCCATCCATCTTTCCATCTATCCATCTATCTATCCATCCATCCATCTATCTATCTATCTATGATGTGATGCACCTTTATAAATCATATAGGAATGTATGGAAGACTTCAAGTAAAAAAAAACGATTAAGAAGTATTAGTATGCATACGTAGAATGTATATAGTATATAGTATATAATATAGAGAATATAGAGTCTTAATGGATTGCATTTATTATACTTGTATGATGATTTACTCATTCATTAATTCATTTTATTTTAGGAGGTTGTTTTACATACATTAAATTTCACTGAAAAATATGTTTGTTTCAATGACTTGTCAATCTAGATACAAAATCTGCATGTAAAATGTCAGTCTGGTCTCGCATTAATTAATTTATTTTATTCACTATATGGAAAAGAACAGTCAGAAAATTAATATATATATACAGTATATATATATATATATATAAGATAACATTTCCTTCAATGAAAGAAAATTAATTCATAAAGGCTTTGAATAACATGAGGATGAGAGACCTGATGGATTTCATTTGTCCATATTTTCTGTGAATTTTTTACAATCTTATTTTTTTATTTAAATGTTTACATTATTTTATTTTAAATGTGATGCCATCAAAAAATGTTACGTCAAATAAGAGCAGATTCGTTCAAAGTAATTAATGACTTGTTGTAGATACAAAATCCGCATGTAAAATATCAGTCTGGTCTTGCGTCGTCAGGGTCGCACAGTGGCGCATGTCTGGAGAGAAATGAAATCCTAAATCAATCGGTTACTCTGCTGGGCTCTGACGGTAAACTTCAAGAGAGAAATACTGTCAGGCAGTGTCGGAGCACGATCTAGTCGTTTAATATAGACCGGTTGTTTAATGTGAATGTTGCACTCACAGCAGAGATGAATAGGAAATGAAGGTTGTTGTGCAGTGATACTGATGACTGCATTCTGGATTCTGATTTGATGGCGCTAAAGAGAGTATCAAGAGGTGGACTTGCAATTATAGGCAGAAAGGTTTTAGTATGCTCGGCTTATTTTTATTCATGGCACAATCTCACACGCGCACACACTTCTTATCTTGTCAGTGAGGACACAGACATACACACTTTCATAGTCACGAGCCTCTGCATCATAAAAATCTCTCCAGCCTCCGTGTTTCTCTAAACAGCCAACAGTCTTTTTGTTTATGTTTCAGCCATGAACCATGTTTTGCTATTTGTTATTGCTAATCGGTTGCAGGTAACTTGGGGGAGGGACATTCTCACTTTAAAGACCATCTGATTGGACGAAAATTTGCATATGCCTGCGAGTGCAGGATGAGTCATCGGCCCGGTTGTAGATTTGAAATGCTGCTAAATGTTAATTACGTCCATGTTTAGGAGTACACTAGCATATAAATGACCACAAAACTCCCATTTCGATTTCACGGGGTGTCCATTTGTTCTCTATCCAATCTCAGGGCTGTCAAGGAAAAAATAATTGAAAAATTCAAGAGATCTCATTTGTGATTTTTCTTTCCTTTGGGTCTCTCCTCATCTGAGTGAACTCTTTCAACTCCTGCCGCATCCACGCCGCACTCTTTCTCTTGACTCACACACACACACACACACACACACACACACGCTTCAGCAGCGGCTCGCTAACCTGTGAGACAGCCTTTGAAGCTGACATCTTTCCCCTCCATCTCTGTCCTCTCTCTCTCTCTCTCTCCCAGCTAGAGCAGGTGGTGTCCAATCGACTCCCCCCTTCACAAATCAGCATTCACACATACATTCGCTCCATCCATCTCTCACTGACTTGCGGACGGGCTGCGAGCCCCCTGAGCTAATTCCATTATACATTCCATCTGGAAGTAAGAGAGGACTGCCCTCTAATTGCTTTCTTATCCCCCTGAGCCCCCTTTCTCTCCTTTACGCTCCTTTCCTCTCCTCCAAACAGCACCCCCAACCCCGTACGGCCCACCCCCAGCCCCCGCCCCGCCCTGCTCCGAACATGGCAGCAAAGGGAAGGAGGAAAGTGAAATAGACCGAGAGCGACTACACACGCAGGAGAGAGAGAGAGACGAGTCTGCCACTGACAAGGAATATCTGCCATTTTCCACGTCGCAGGAGGCTGCAGCCCTGATCCAGAGGACCGGGATCCAGGCACAGGCACCGCCGCAGGTAGAGACGCATGTTTCTCCACATTTAAGGGGCTTAATGTCAGTGCGAGTGGATGGATGGACGGATGAGTGCGGGACGGAGCGCTGCGGTGCGTCTCCAGAGCTGCATGCATGGGGACAGGGGGGCGTGTTGGATAGCAGGATGCCCATGTGTTTGCCGTTGCGCTCAGAGCCTGATCGGAGTTCAGTTTCCTCCCGTGCGAATCCCATTCCAAACACTACAGAGCTAGCAACAGATAATATATGAGAGGGTTATATTATGTACACATTGTGTTCATGTCAACACTGTACTTAGTATGTAGTACAAGCTCATGCACGCTTAAAAATAAAGGTTCCTAGGGGGGATTCTATGGCGATGCCATAAAAGAACCATTCTGAGTTTCAGTGAACCATTTTTCCTTAATGGAAAGAACATTTTAATATTCTAAAGTTTGTGGAATGGAAAGGTTCCATTGATGCTAAAGGTTCTTCATGGAACCATAAATAACCTTTATTTTTAAGAGTTTATGCGTATTTTAACAATAAGAAAGGCATTTTTAATATTCAGTCTAGATGTGAATCACGCTCTGTATTTATGTATGGATATGCAGCTGAAATATATCAGAGCTATATTTAGAGCGCAAAACACAAAGCTAGACTCAATGCGCTTGCGTTTATGTTAAAGACGCATTATGCATATTCAGTGTGTGTTTTATATGAAAACCTGTGCTTAGGTGATACTATGAGGAAGATTTTGTGATTGAGACATTCTACAATGTGCTAAACAGGGGCTGCATGTTGAGTCGAAATCAAGAAGTACACAAAACTTGTGCGTTTATGCCATACTCAACATGCTCCTGTGTTTATGATGACGACACTTTGTGCATATGCAGTGTGTGTTGCGTTTTATATGACAACCTGTGTTTATGAGATACTATGAGGACGATTTTCTGATTGAGACATTCCGGAAAGCATAAAGGTCTGTTTACATGCATTTCAAGGGAATTCATACCGTTTGTGTGTGTGTTATTTTGCATGCACCGTGCCCTTGATCAAGGAAGCACGGGGGTAAGACGGCTCTAACCTATTAAACGCTGCACTGAGACTGCAGTGTCACAGCTGACTGATATTGATGCTCTGGACGGCCCCTCTCCGCAAGAATCCATTTAGAGACTGAACGGAGAGAGAGAGGTGAGAGGAATATGAAGGAGGGGGAGAAAAATGGAGGGATGACATGAATATTTGAGTGAATTAGAGAGAAGAAGGAAAAAATGATGCCAACATCTGCAATAGCATACTAGACGGAAAAAAAAGGTCGCAACTGTATTCCCAAGGTTACGAGCGTCACATATCATGGTAATATAATAATATTTTAATTATAATAATTTGATGAAAAATGTAGTTATAAATTAGATTTTTTTATATTATTAGTATTTGTCATAATTCATGATAATACAGATAAATATAGAATAATCACTGACTACTTTCTGATATTATAGGAAATTAAATAAAATTTCACAAGTGAAAGGTACTTATTTATTATTATTATTTTAATTTATTTCACATTTATTATTATTATTATTATGTATTTGGAACTTGATGGATACAAACCAAAATACAGCAGTAAACTGCCAACAAAAAAAAAATTATAATAATAATTTTGATATTTGCATTGTTCTTTTTTTTCCATTTCCAATAAAATATTCCCTAGATATTTAATATCTAAACAAGACATTTTTCTCACTCCAGTGACATGTATTTTCTTATTTTAAACATAAACTACTATTTTCTTAGATTTATGCTTAAAATAAGATTTAATAAATAATTATTAATATTAGTAGTAGTAGCATTAGTAAAGTATTAATATGAATTAATACATACATATAACTAAATAAATGTACCTTGTTTTAAGGATGCTTAGAATTGTTGTTGTTTTTTTTCTAAAAATATAAAATATATATATATAATGCCTATTTTTAGCTAATCCAGTGAATGAAATCCAGTAAATGTTAATCTCACTTTATTATTTTATCTTTTTATTTAGAACTTGATGACGGAAATCAAAAGATCAGATTATCATAAATGAATAAAACATCTTGCACAAGAGTACAAACAGCGTCACAAATAAACACAAAACTAAAACTGACATTATAATTACTTTGAATTCGGATTGGATGAGCCACATTGAAGCTGCTGCAAAATAGCTGATATAAACACATCAAGGGAATTCTATATTAATGCGGCCAGTTTTGATGTTGGTTGGCAACTATAAACAGCTAAACTCTGTTACTGCCCTTAATAACAACTTCTTTGTCATCCTGACTTGTTTGGGACACGTCACACTCTGTTTGCATGATTGCATATTTTCTCATCACTACAGAAAATAACCAAATGCAGCCCTGTCTACAGCATTCAAGCAAAATATGTAAACAAATTTCACCATCGCACAGTATATACCATCATGCCACCCAGCTCTACATGCTGCTATATTGCATTTTGTCAGGACTATACCGAATGTAGCATGGAGGCTGATGCAATCCCCTGAAACTGTCACACACCTGAGGGCCAGTCAGAGAACAACCATGAGAAACAGAACGAGAGAGAGAGAGAGAGATCGGAAACCATCGCCTCTTTCAAGAATAGAAGGTGATAGGAATGAAATTAGATAGAGGCAGGGGGAAAGAGTAGACGGAGAGAGAGAGAGACAGACGGATATGAGGTGAAGAGAGGGAAAGACAGCACCCCTCCCCCGTCCGCTGTTTTCTAGGTGCGAGAGTTCTGAGCAACAATCTGGCACGGCTCAAAACAGATCCATAAGGTCAGGACGGGGCAGAGCGCGCAAGGGAGGAGCGACGGAGGAATTATTTATCTCCAGATGCTGCTGTCTCTGCAGCACTAGGCTCAGCAGTCTTGCTCCGAAAGAGTGGAGAACAGGAAATGAATGGATGGAGAGAAGAAATAAACGACAAACTCGACGGTCAGGGGGTGAGATATGTGACGACACCACAGAAGCGTTTCGCAAATGCACCAGGCTCAGGCGCAACCGAGGGTCGCAAAACAACCCGTGTTCGATGGATGTCATATTTACAGGCGAAAATACTGATTTGATTAAAGCTGATGTGTGCTATTTCTCCCGCAGTAATAGCATCAAATGGATAACAAAAATACTAATTGTTTCCAAACTGGTTTCCAGAACCCCCACCCCATCTGTCATTGGCCAAATTAAACAGACAGTCCCGCCCTAAACTCACAGCATTGGTTGAGTCAATATTGCTGTTTCAGGACCAGTGTTGGGGGTAACGCATTACAAGTAACGCGAGTTACGTAATCAGATTACTTTTTCAAGTAACTAGTAAAGTAACGCATTACTTTTTAATGTACAAGAGAATATCGGAGTTACTTTTTCAAATAAGTAACGCAAGTTACTTTTTTTTTTCAATTTATTGATTGACAGCTCTCCTGTCCCCATGTTGAGAGAAATCAGAAGATGTTA